CTGTCTTATCCAGTTTGTGTTCACCTCCCTCTGGGACACATAAACTATCACTAGAGAGTCTGCAGATGTGATAGGGAAAAAATGGGTTGATTGATGGGAAGCTGGGGGCTCTTCTGGAGCTCTTGGTCAGTGGATCTGTGGATGGCTTTGAGATGAACATCTGACAAAATGCTTAATCAACATGAAACTCTTTTACTATACTTGTTTCTTCAGTTGTTTCGCATGATCACTGCTATAGTCACAAGTCACCTTCATTAGCAAGGCTGAGGTACTCTGGAAAAATTTCAAGCCAACATAGCTTTCCCCCATCCAGAAAGAAACTCCATGGTTAAGGATTTTACTGTAAATGTGTGTGTTTGTTCATGCTGGAGGGGAAGGACAGACACTACCATTTCAATCAAGCCCTCTCCAGGTTGCCAATCCATAGTGAACACTTTGCATTTTCTTCTCAGTGCTTAAAGCAGGAAGGGAGGTGACCTCCTACACCACTCAAGAAAAGACCTGGCCCCAGCGCCAGAACTACAGTTTCTGTATCCTAGTTTTAACTCTCAGCTTGGTACTAAGGACTCTGCTGGGCTGATGCCTGGCTGTGTTCTCTAAGAAGCTGCTCAGAGATGGCTAAGATTAATGGGCTTTTGGTCCTCATTTCTCCTTGGTGTGGTCAAATTTTAAGCAAAGTTGCAGGTCTTAGGAAATTACCCTGAAAACCCTAATGCTCAGTGGAGAAGAGGTCATGAGAAAAATACAGAGGCCTACAGGTAAGATCACTGCTTGGTCAGGCATGCCATGCCATACCATGTTGTGGCAGATGACATGAGGAAGAAGCCCTCACCTGGGAAGCAGGAGAGCCTCCAAATTCTCATTCCTCTTCTGGCTTTAGTTAGGATTTTCTTCAGTTCATTCCAGGAGGGAAGGGAACCCACATAAATCTAATGTCTAATACATCTCAGTCATTTCACAAAGCACTTTATATTTATTATGTCGCTTAATCCTTTTAGCAAACCTGCAGGAATGGTGGCATTTATTCCAATTTTTACAGAGAAAATTGGGGCTCACAGAGGTTCAGCAACGTGCCTAAATCTATGCAGTGTTGAGTGACTCTCCACTGTGTTGTGGGCTTCTGCCTCGGCTGCTGACTGTAGAGTGTTTGGCAAAGAGCCATGAAACTTCTTAGTAACTCTGAGGACAGGCAGGTTTTTCTCTGGGGATTATCTAGCAGGCTTTCTAATCTTACGCATAACCTTAGGGGAGAAAAGAGTTTGGAAGTGGAGATACATGTAGCTATTCTAGGTGTGTGACTCAAGGTCTGCTTTAGGCCAACTAACTACTCCAGCCCAAAATTATGGCTGAGTTACCCACGTCTCTCCAGACACCAGAGCCTCCTAACCTTGTCTCAGGGGATCCTGGTTCAGGTGTTCCTCTAGATGAAGAACCATGTATTATTTTTGATAAGATATTTCAGGCAGAGAGAAAAGTCTAGAGAATATAAAGAACACATATGTACCCACCAGACAGCTCAAGGAAAAAAATACAACCTGCTATATACTTTTCTTTAATTATATTCCTCTACTTCTCTTCCCAGAGGCAACTATAATTTGACTTTGGTATTTATTATTCTTAAGCATTTTTACTACATACATTAGTAGACAATATATAATATTCTTCTGCAGAGTTTAAAAATTTTATATACATGCTATTATTCTCTATGTATCCATCTGCAACTTGCTTTTTTCCTCTTCAGCATCATATATGTGAGATTTATCCAGGTTAATTCATGTAATGAGATATAATACTTGAAGAAATACCTCACTTTTTTCCTATCTCTGGTCACCCTTGCTCTTGGGCCCTCTAGATTAAAATGTACTGGCTTGGGTGAGCAGGCTGAACATTTCTTCCTTTTTTTCCCCCCCCTTAAGTGGAGATATTGGGGATTGAATCTAGGACCCTGTGCATGCTAAACATGCACTCTACTGAGATATACCCACCCTTCCCCCAGCATTTCTTCCTTTTAGTTCTTTGTGCTTCCCTTCACTATACAAAGGTTTAGTGGTGAAAAATGTCTCCCTTCTAAGAAATCTAATTATATTCTCTAAGCAGAGGCTAAGAAAAAGAAGGGTTTGGGGGAATCAAAGTAAAGCTGTAACAATTTTAAAAGAAATAAGCTGTAGTATTCTCCATCTCAGAAGATAGGTTTAGTGTAAATGGTTCAAAAGTAGGGAATGAATCAAAAGTCCTAAGGAGCCATTTAAGTCCAGCGGATCCTGCCAAGTTTTATAATTTGGTGTTTTTAAGAGTGTGACTGAAAAAACATGGACGAAATTCCTTTTAACAATTATGATCTTTTTGGAACTCTAATTGCCAAAGGCTTAATTTTATTTTTAAGGGAATTTTATTTTCACTTTTTAAGATAGGTTCACAACCTACCCATTTGTCAGTATTTTGTTTCACTTCTTGCTTGGCTACATTATGTCTTCAAGTAGAGTTTTCCAAAGGGTTCATGGGTGACATATATCCTAAGCCCTGGAGTATTTCTGATGATTTTATATTTCAACCATAACTTTACTAGCTATAGGATTCTTAGGTCACAACTGTTTTCTCTCCAAATTTTCTAAATGTTGTTTTATTGTCTTTGGTTCTTAAATGTTATCATAGAAAAGTCTGAGGCCAGGCTGATTTTCTCCCTTCTAGGTGCTTTGATGTTTTTTTCTTTCAGTTCTATGTGCCTTGACATTTTGTAAAAGTGGTGTTTGCCATTTCTCCTTTGGATCGCCCATGCCCCTATTTCTTACGCTGGCAGAATCTTAGTGTTCTTGTTGGATTTGACATAAATTTCATTGTGTCTGGCAGATACTCTTTAGTCTGTATGTAGGTATGTAGCAGTTACCTAGTTTTATTATAGATGAAGCTTCCTTTTCTTTGGCTCTGCTTGTTTTCATTTTGGTAAGTTACAAGGAGTAAAGCACTTAACTTACTCCATTTTTTTCTAGGATTACACAGGGTTCTCTTGACAGATATTCAGCCAATTATAGTAGGAGGGCTTAAATCAGGGATCTCTATTTTTCATTTTTCATTCAGTAAATAGTTACATGGCATCTAGCATATAAAAAGTACAGTATTAGGAGTTAAGGGATACAAAGACATATGAGAAGTACTTCTGTATTCAAGGAATTTATAGTCTAGTTGAGGAAAAAAGAAAGATGAAGTAAGTCCCATATGAGCATAAGTAAAGTGATGGAGGCACAGGGAATATGGAGGTGACAGAGATAATTCCTGGTTAGGACGATTCAAGAAAGCTGCATGGAGGAGCTGGAACATGTACTGGACCTTGGAAAACAGGTAGGATTTCTACAGGAAAAAAATCTCTAGAGAGAGGCAAGTCAGGCGGAGTGAATGTCAGGAATAAAAGGGACTGGAAAAGTAAGTGGGCAGGGAAGTGATTTGAGTGCTGAAGAGGACATTCAGGGTAACAATGAGAAGCAGCAAATCTTGTTTGGCTTTGATGGCTACATGTGATGCCTGCAGAAAATCCAGGTGAAATCTGGGTTCCTCAGCCTGCCTGAATATGAAGGTGTCTAGACTGCTGCTTGGGTCACTGACTTTGGAGCAGGAGGAAATGTAGGAGATATTACTCAGGACCAGAGGCCCACAGACGCAGAACACAGGACTGATATTGAAGCCCTGACAATGGCATTTTCACTACACTTTGGATTGCTAAGCATCAGTTGTCATATAATTTGGAAGTGGTAAAAAATAAGACAGGCAGGAGCCTTCTCTGCATAGTCTCACCCACACCTTCCCCAAGGTGATCCTTTTAGCATCCCTCAAGCCCGGAGGACCTTGGGCAGGTGTACAAGTCACTGTCCAGAAAGCCTTAGCGTCTCATCACTGTTGGCAGAGACAAGCAGACCAAAAATATGAGAAACTCCCTTCTAGACAAATTCATGCTCCTACTCTGCCACTCAGTCCAGATGTAATAGCATCAGGGTAATCAAGTCTCACATGATTACAACTTAATCACTTTTCTCAAATTTACTATGTCACTAAATAACTTGAAAATAATGAGAAAGAGTTCATATGGGATGCAAGATGTCTGATCTTATCACCAGGAACTAATCTGCAGGGTTGGGTAATCTCTAATGATCTTCCTAGTCATCAGACCCATGTGGGCTGCCTATAGCTTTATCTCAACTTTTCATTTGGAAAAACAGCAGCAATCACCATCTAAACCTTTACTGTTTCCCCAGCTAGAAACCTTATTAGGCCATTCAAGATTGTAACTCCTCTAAAACAGCGATTGACTCTGGGATGCTAGGCCTTTTCTATAAGCTTTTTTCATATAAATAAGCTAGAGTTTCTTAGGGAGCCTTGGTTTCCTTACCAATTCTCTTTATGTCAATTCAGGACACTAACAGTGGGCCTTTAAGAGAGATGATCTTTTGTCTGCCCAACCACAGGAGAGGAGGGAGATGTTACTAATTAGAGCAAATGAGAAAGTTATGGCACTGTCTTCCTTGGAAGGTATATGGCAAGATGAGATAGAGAGTGGAAGTTACAAAGCCTCATGAGCTACTCTAGAAGCAGGTGATCAAATGCACAAAGGGGAGTGTAGGTCTGGTTTTCAAGAGTGACGCCTGTCAAGCTTATGCAGGAATCTGGAATGGGACATGGAGTATCATGTGTGCTATAAGAAAGAAGTCTGGATTGCCACAATTTATTCATGTATAAAAATGCTGAAGTTGAGCTGAATGACTTTTAAGGCCCCATCTCACTCTAATATTCCAGGACTCAGTGTTGGAGCTGGATCTTGAGAAACACAAGAAACTTTTAAGTTAAAACTTTACTTTAAAGGTAATGGGAAGAGGGAAGGGTATAGCTAAGTGGTAGTGTGTGTGCTTAGCATGCATGAGGTCCTGGGTTCAATCCCCAGTACCTCAATTAAAAATAAATAAATAAATCTAATTAACCCCATTGCCCCTAAAAAAAGGTAATGGGGATGGGTAGGAGGTATAGCTCAGTGGTAAAGCGCATGCTTTGTGTGCATGAGGTCCTGGGTTCAATCCTCAATGCCTCTGTTAAGGGAAAAAACCCCAAAAACAAAACAAAACAAAAAGTGCAAAAAAAAAAAAGGTAATGGGGAGTCTTCAAATGTTTTTGAATAGAATAGGGATATGATCAGAGATATTCTTTAGGAAGACAACACTGGCAACATGCCCCCTCTGTGAGATGAGATAATGTAACAATGAAGATAAAGAAGAAGATGATGATGTTAACAGCTAACATTCTTTGTACCAAGCACTGTTCTTAGTGCCTTATGTCTATTAATTCATTTAGTACTCCCAATAAAGCAATCCAGTTTTTACTCCATTTCATAGTGAGAAAATCAGGCACAAAGAGGTAAAGTTAGTTTCCTAAGTGACTTATAAGTGACAGACCCAGGATTCAGTCTGGCAGTCTGGCCCCAAAGCTCATGCTCTAATCCATAGGAGCAATGGTAGAAGGATGGATTTGAAGAGAAAGAAAAATAGAGACAGGAAAACAAATTAGAAAACACTGATTCAGGAAGAGGTCTCTTGGTCTGATCTTTTTTCCTAACCTCTACCTACAAACTGGCTACTAGGTACCTCCACACCTGGATGTCCTACAGGTACTTCCAACCTCATGTGCCCTATACAAGCCTTGTCTCCCCACAAATCTGCTTCTCCCTTAACTTCTCTCATCTCGGTGAGTACACCACCGCCTACCCTGTTTACCCAACGAGAAACCTGGGCTTCACCAACCAACTGTCCTTCCTCCTACCCCTATATCACTTCTTTGCTCATTCCTTGTCAGTCTCCTTAGATTCCTTTTCTTATGTCTAAAATTGCCAACGTTCCCCCAGGTTTTGTCTTGGTTTCTTTTCTTTCAAGGCCACACACTTTCCCTGGGTGATCTCATCTGCGTCCACAGCTTCAGTTACCACCTCTATGCTGACTGCTCCTACATCTGAACTTCAAGAACAGGTTTGGTTCCTGAGCTCCAGTTCTATACATCAAGTGCTGCATAACAAGGCCGCCTGTCACGAACTCAACTTGTCACAAATAGTACGCATCACTCCCCTGCCTCCCACCCTGCAAATCTTACTCTGTCTCTAGTGACTTCCATCCTTGTGAAGAGCACAACAGAAACATTATCACTCAAGCAAGAAATCTAAGAGCTTTCCTTAATTTCTTTTTCACCTCACATATCCAAGCAGTCACCACGTTTTATAGTTTTTTATCACCTTATTACTTCTCCTCTCCATTTCTACTGCTATTGCCTTAGTTTAGGACCAGGATTATTTCAGTATTTTTCCTGCCTCCATGTTTATCCTCTTCAGATCATTCTTCTTTCATTGTAGCCAAAACGATCTTCATAAAATGGGAATTTAATCATACTATTCCTTTCTTTTAAACTCTTAAATTACTGTTACCTATTAAACTCCTTAGGGGATAGTCCATGATTTGGCCTTTGTTCATCTATATGGCCTTGTCTTCTATCACACCCATTCCTCTTTGAATTCTATACTGTGGTCATCATGAATTGTTTAACCATTCTTTCATACAACAAATATTTATTGACTTCCTGTAGGTGTTTAGGATATAACAGCAAGACAGAAAGATAGGTACTTACATTCTCAAACAAACATATTCTTGTGAGAGACAGCTAAACAAGACAAGGCCAGACAGTGATAGTGTTATGATGAAGAAAACAAAACAGGCTAATGTAATGGGGAGTACTGGGACAGGTTGCTTCTGACAGCAGTTAGTGAAGCTTCTTTTTAAGTGGTGAAATTTGAGCTAAGTTCAAAATGAGATGTTTCTGACATAGGCTATGCTCTCTCACACTTCACATTCTTAATGTATCTAAAACACTCCTTTCTCTGGCCCTGGGAGCTCTACTCATTTTTCAAGATTAAGTTCAGGGGTCATTTCCTTACTTAAGTCTTCCCTGGACCTTTCCTCTTCTGTGGCCATACAGATTTCTATCACAGCACTTAAAACTTCATGTTGCATATAGCCTATGAGTTCCTTGAGGGAAGAGATTGAGTCTTATGTAGTTTCATGTCTTCATCTGCCTAGCACAGTCTTCAGCATAGAGTGGGTCCTTCAGTGTTTGATCAAAGAGTGAAATACTTGGGACAGGTCTCTATCACCGGTGCTGTGACAGAGCCATCTTGTTCTGCTTGAAAGAGCTGATGGGTAGCATCTCTTTCCCCTGAGTGTTCACTCATATCACTGGTCCTAGTGGGAGATTTTACACCATAGGAATTGGCAAATGCTACAAATCAGGCCACTGATTTTTCCCTTTGGAGAACTGGTTGTTAACAATTTATCAGCACACTACTGGTAACAGTGTACCAAAAAATTCTGGCTTTTTGTTTGTTTGTTTTTTGTTATACATGCATGCAGTTGAAAGCAAATTGTTCTGTAGGTTTTATTATGAAAAACAGCAGTTCCCTATTTCCTCTAGTCATTTCCTTCTTCGCAGAGACAATTCTTTGACTTCTTTTTGTTGAGTATTTCAGTATTTACTTCTGTGTCTCTAGATAATAACATGCTTATATTACTACTCGATTTGTCAGTTTTGTCAATAGACTTTCCACAGTGGAAGATGAGGATTTAGTGCTCTTTTCACCCCCCACCCCCTGCTCCCTTTTCCCCTTCCTACCCTTCATCCTTTCAATATAGTTATAATTTTGGTCAATGATCAGTTATTATAACTACATAAATTCTATTTCATAGTTAAGCCACACAGCAAACTATGATGCTTTTTCCTTTCTTGCACAACTTTTTTTTTCAACAGTTAATAACTGTTTTGTTTTTGTTAGATAGTGTTCTGTTATTACTAATTCAACCCCAACTTTTAGCCAATTGTCTAAATCTTTCAAGATGTTTATATGTATCTGGCATTTTATCAGTTTCATCTTCCTGAGTGTTTCCTGGATTCCTCTCTGGACTAACTGCTCCCTTTATGCTTATGCACAGTTATCATTCTTGGATCTGCCTTCACTATCATCCCATGGATTCTTTTTGCCTTTTTCTGAGTTGGGTCTCTTGCTTCCCATATAACTCCTTTTTGGTTTACTCTTCATTTTGGTGGAACACACCTTTTCATGTCTGAAAATGTCTTTATTCTGTTGTCATCCTTGATTACCACGTAGCTTAAGTACAGAATTCTAGGTTGAAATTAATTTTCCTTCAGAATTTTGAAAGCATTGTTCTATTATCTTCTAGTTTCCATTGCTGCTACCAATAAGTCCAAAGCCATTCTGGTTTCTGAATAGTTGTATATGACCTATTATTTCTCTTTGTAAGTCTGTAGCATTCTTTGTCTCTGATGTTCTGAAATTTCACAATTATGTGGGTTTATTTTTATCACTGTGCTGGGCCCTTTCATTCTGTAAATTCATATCTTTCAGTTCTGGGAAATTTTCTTATATTATTCCGTAGATAATTTCCTCTTCTGGTTTCTCAACTTTCTTTCTATGGAACTCCTATTCAGATGCTGGACATCCTGGATTAGTCCTCTCATTTTCTATCATTTCTCTTCTACATTCTATCTCTATCTTTTTGCTCTACTTTCTGGGAAGTTTCAAACTTATCTTCCAATTCTTTTATTTAAGGTTTCCTTTCTGTTATTATGTTTTAAATTTCCTTGAGTTTGTTTTTTGTTCTTTGAGCAGTCTTTATTTTTTTATTTGTTTATTTTTTAATGGAGGTGCTGGGGGTTGAACCCAGGACCTCGTGCATGCTAAGTGTATGCTCTACCACTGAGCTACACCCCCACTGCTGCTTTTTGTTCTCTGAAATAACGTTGTTTGAAAGTCATTTTCTCCCTCTGCATAATCTCTTCAAAGTTGCTTTTTCTATTTGTTTGATTTGGTCTCTATCTTTCAAAATAGAAGCTTTCTTTAGATTTCTGGTAATCTTTGATTATCTCTTCATATTTAGGAAAGGATTCTAAAAAAGCATATGAATAGAAATTGTCATCCACAATTTTCACTATAAGGTGATTTGACTGGGCCATTAGAAATCTCTAATGTAAATAAATTCAGGTTCTTCTTCTTGGGCTGGTCAGATTCTCTAGTAAAGAGTCTTCCACACTTCTGACTGAAGGCTTTAGGCCTATTTTCCAGGGTTCTGGAAGTTGTCAGGAAGTGGGCTTAGGGGAGGATAGATCTTGGTGGCTAATATCCCCATGGTCTTCAACTTTCCTGTTTTTTTATTATGGCACTTCTTCCCTCCATCCTGCCTATTGTCTTCCACCAGTCACTCTTCCTAAAGAGCAAAGGCTTAACCTTAGGTTCTACCCCTAGGCAGCTCTTCTCCCTAAAATGCTTCCCTCAGTCCCTCAAGGGCAGTTGTGAGAGGTATTTCAGCTTTTACTGGGCTTGCAGTCTTCCCCTATCCTTCTCACCCATCAGTTCCTGGACAGAGAAATCAACAGATATCAGAGCTAAAATCAATCTCAGACTGATCTAGCCCAGTGATTTTCAAAATTTGTTTTACAGATCAGTTTTCACATCCTATAGGAAGGATAAGTGCCCCTTCCCCACTGTGTTCTAAACATCTATGTTTTTATCAGTTTTAAACAATGAGTTCTGCATAACATTTACCTTAAGAAAAATTTCCTTTCTAAAAAGTCTGAAAACCATTGGTTTGGTATTATCCTTCCTTTCTTCTCTTCATTTTATACAAGGAAAAACCCAAGGTCTATACAGAGGAAGATAATTAAGCATCATTCAAGTATTCTTACTCCAAGTTCAGGCTGTTCATAGCTAAGATTTTAGGGTGTTCTAAAGTGTCTTAAAATGGGGGAAGAGTCTCTATAACTTGTAACAGAGAAGCTCTCCCTTAAAAACAGAACTTGCCTTATATTGCACTCCTCCTAAGCCTCTGCTTTCTTCAGAGCTGCTCTGGGATACTAAGATAGGGGAAGGTGACCCTTAGACATTGGTACAGTGTCATTCCAGCCTTGCCAGTTGCTCACTACTGTGGTCATCTCATCAAGCAGAATATCAGAGCAAGAGAAGGCAGCTTCTCCTGGGACCACA